AATAAATAGATGAACAGAACATACAGTCTGTACCGGATACAGTGCGGCATAGCTAAGGGCAACCGAAACATTCGTGTTGTGCTAATTTCGATTGCCATATCAACTGCCGCTACCAACCGCGTTCGGCGTAAAGTACTAGATGACAGGGCTACCAACTTGACTTTTTATCGAGTGGTTCCGTAGAAATGACCGCTACTGTATAGTGAAAATGAGGAGCTATTACTATTAACTAAAATTGAAAAATTTAAGGACGTAGTCCGTAGTCGAATGCAAACTGACCGACAAAGTGAATATTTCTCAAAAGGTTAAATATAATGTTAATAATAATTATAGCCTATGGATAAATGTAACACATAAAACTTACAGAATGAAGCCTGGAAACAAAATTTTAATGCGTTTTAACACACAAAAATTAGTTCTAGAAGTCTGGAACAAATTAAAATCAAATATCACAACTTTAGAGAAAAAGTCAGGAAGGTAGTAGTCTCTAATAAGAAATACATCTTAGGTACTGTAACATATAATTGTGTTCCACCTAGTAGATTGTTTGCGCGAACGCCACCCTGTAGTTCTTGGGATATAACGACTGCTCAATACGCATGTCACGATGCGTGAGTGATTTTCAAATCGATTACCATCGTTCGATCGATCGTAACAGTCGCTCTTTTCTTGCTATGAGGCGTTCAGCGTATAGTTAGGTTTTCGGTGATCTGTGTAAAGGGGCCAAAAACCTGCAGGAGGTTGTGTCCCGGGTCTGAAGTACCGTGTAAAACAGACACAGAATAAGCTAGGTAACGTCGGAGACGGATTGGGCCGACTATATCGCGAGAAAGAGTAAGTAACGTCCAAGGTCGGGGGTAGAGAACTAAATTCAGGTTGCAGAGCGTGGAAACAGGGCTCCAAGAAGAATCCAAGAATAATCCAGATCTACTCCCCGGATATTCCATCCACACTGTAAAGCCGGATTTATAGTTTGTCCGTATACGCAAACGGGCCCGGATGACGCAACGGAAGAAAGTTCAACATCAGGTTTTGCTAAAATGCATTTATAGTAACTCCGCATCCGTAAGCAGGGCCGTAAGCGACGCACGTTCTTGCCAAAGCATTCCTCACTTTATTATACGCTTTTTTTAGCCAAAGATTTTTTCCAAATTTTTATTTTCTATATAAAGAGAACTTATTCCAGATACCAATACTTTTAAGTTTGCAGATAATTTCACAAAATGCAGGGACCTAATTATTTGAGATTGTAATACCTCCTAATCTGTTTTTACCTGAAAGTGTGCATTATTGAAACTTGTCTGCCAAACGAGCCGCCTTTACTAAGTACCTAAACAGGTACAAGGGATTTTAAATTTTTTTATCCTTTTATCTTGTTCCTCTTTGAAAAACGGAAGTATTAATTCTGAAACAACTGATTTTACTGGTCACTTACCAAATTTCCCAAAATATCGTTTGAAAAAATGGCAGTGTTTATAAAAATAGTTTTCGAATGTTGCTTTATTTAGTAAAATAATCAGTGTGGTTAGTGGCACCCCAATAAGCAACGGAAATTAGAACAAGTTGTATAGACTTCCTGCGCGCCAACGCCATCGCCACCGACATCCCCCGGGGGGCGCTAGTGTGGAATCGCCGTGAGTCGCGGACCACCCCTGCCGTGTCTTCCGCTCTGCCACCCGTGCCCTGTCCGTCGGCTAGAAACCCGCGCATCCGACGCGCTCCAAACGGCTCTGTGATTGACCGAATGTTCACTGATGTCTGTTTTCAGATGGATAACCCTATCGTACGGGATTTAGTAGCTGAGCTGCTGCGGGGAGAGGATCCCACCGCCGCTGGACACCGCCCAAAGTCCCGGGGGATTCAGGTCGGACCCCCCATGGGGGCAGCTCCCCGGCTAGTCTCCCGCGGGGTACAGACTGACGGAGAGGCCCCCCGGAGAGACCCTGTGGCCCGGTACGTGCCAGTGGATCAGGAGGTCTGCTGGCATTGTGCGCAACCGGGTCACTGGCGGGGCCAGTGCCCGTGTCCGGCCGGCCCCAAATTTTGTTCGCAATGCGGCCTCGTGGGCACTACGTCCGCCGCATGCCAGTGCGGTCTACCAGAGCGACCCCGCAGAAGCCGCCCCCGTCGACCGTCCTCTAACGAAGTCCGGCGCCCCGCCTCTAGGGATTCCCCCCTGCCGTCACCCCGCGTAAGCCCGTCCCGGAGGGCGCATGCCGTCCGAGGACGAACTGGAAGCCGCCTGTGAAGAGTCGCCGAAGCCTGAAGTCTTTGTATTTAATTTTTTTTCTTTTCTGTAGGATGCTTTATTGGGGGTGGGTAATGAATAAAAAGGAAAAAAAAAGAAGTTACATTCCTTTTTTTTACCGACGAAATGGGGGAATGTAACGAATCTTTTTTTTGTAGGTACTTGTATTGCAATAAAAATTTTGAAAAAATTTGTATATGCTTTTCACACTCTAGAGAACATTGTTTTCGAGTTTTGTTCAAATCGAAGAATAATAATAATTAAAGTCTCGGGTCTCAGGAGGTTAAACAAAAACAAAAAAAAAAATAGACGACGGATTACATCGCTACATAGTAGTAAAAAAAGTGATTCCAATCTTCTGCAGTCCATGCTGATAGAAGAAGAAACATGACATTTTAAAAAATGTGTTCGCATGTCGTCTGCGCATTTTGGGGTGCTATTGAATTTAAGCGGTCCAAAGATTGAAAATAAAAATACAACTTCAGAAATTCGGTTCCGGTCAAAGGGCGTCTTGCCATAACTCTTCGTTTTCTTGCGACTGGAGTTTCCTACACGAATCTACAATATCTTTTTAAAATATCAAACCCTGACGTTTGGTCCAAAGGGGTAGCCGTTAAGAAACTTTTCTCCAAACCTCTAAAACCGTCTGATGGCTATTGGATTTCAAACCAGACAACAAATTTGTAAACAACTTCTTGTCGATCTATTATCAAAATGTATGAGGTCTTCGAACGAAAATTGATAAACTATATATGTAACAACGTCTTAAACGAAGATTACCAAATAATCGTATTAACGGAAACCTGGCTGACTGACGGCTTCGCTGATAATGAGTTTATTGACGAACGTTACTCTTTATACAGAAGAGACAGATGCTCAGAAACGAGGTTCAAATCCCGGGAAAGAGGTATCCTCATTGCTGTTCTCAAGGACTTAAATTCTTGTCGAGTTTTAATAGACATACTCCAGCGAGAGGACCTTTGGGTTAGCATTATGTTGAACAATGCGAGTCTAGTGTTATGTGCTACCTATATTCCACCCAACTCTTCCCAAGAAGTGTATAGTGCCCACTGTTTTGATCTCGAGTTTGTATCCAGTGAATATTCCAACTCAGTTACTTGTGTACCGGGTGACTCTAACCTATCCAATGTTAGCTGGCTATCAAACAACGACAGCAATGGTTTTATACCCATTTGTAGTAGCAATATTCGAGATGAAATTGTACGTGATAGCTATATGTTTTGCGGCTGCAATCAATACAATGCGAATCCAAATTCTACCGCTTCTATTTTAGATTTAATATTTTCCAACTGCGATAATACTGCGACTGTTCAGTCGTCACTTTTAATAACTTTTTTACAAATGTGGCGGCTCAGCTACTGTCTACAACCAATGGTCTTGCGAGTAATGCTAATGTTCAATCATCTAAAAATTCCAATATGCTACTTGCAAATAACTCATTCAATGTTTGTGATTTTAAATTCTTGGAGGTATCGTATATACATGTGAGAGAGGTGATAATGAAACTTAAAAACACTAGTTGTAATGACATTGATGGTCTAAATATTGGAATATTAAAACGTGTCATAGACTTAATAACTTCACCCTTAACAAAATTAATAAACCTATGTATAAAAGAATCGATCTTTCCTGAGTGCCTAAAAATTGCAAAGGTTATTCCAGTCCATAAAAAAGGCGACAAGAACGATCCATCTAATTATAGACCAATTGCAATTCTCCCTATATTTTCCAAAATTTACGAAAACATTCTGTATAGTCAATTAAGTAACCACTTTGAAGCAAACAGTTTTTTTCCACATCTCAGTTTGGTTTTAGGAAAAATAAATCAACCATTGACGCAGTACATAACTTAGTTCAGGTTATAACGTCGTATTTCGAAGAAGGAACGGCGGGAGTCGCATCATTCCTAGATCTGTCTAAGGCGTTTGACTGCGTCAGTCCCAAACTTTTGCTACGCAAACTAAATTGCTACAATATGCACTTATCTAGTCGTCTGCTAATAAAATCTTATCTGGACAACAGAATGCAAGTTGTGAAATTTAAAGACGACACTTCTCAACATCTTCCGATCGATAAAGGAGTATCCCAAGGTTGCATAATTGGACCTCTCCTTTTCCTAATATTTATCAACGACTTACCGTCATCTTTAACGTCCAACTGCATCTTATATGCAGACGACACAACTTTAATAAATGGATTAGCCGACGGGAAATCTGCTAGCGAAGTAAAGGAACAGGCGCAATTAACATAAAATAAATGATCAAAAAAGATATGGTAGACATCAGCGTTAACGTAAAAGGAGAAGATGACGTACTTACTCTCGATATGGGCTCGAGTAATACCCCACCATCACTTTTGCGGTTATATAAACGTCGATTTACTTGTCAGTGATTTATTTAGTATTGCGCCTTCAATTGTTGGACATATTGTAAATTTAAAATGTCGTCTTTTATTTCTGGTTTGAATAAAGAATCACAATTACAAGCTTTTGTGAGTGCAAAAACTTTAGAAGAAAACAAAAGGTTTTTAATTAAAAGTTTTAGTCAAAATACGGGGACAAAATATTTGTGCAAGTGGAAGATTGCAGGACAATACTACCCCAGCGCTTTACTGAAAAATTCGACGATTCAGTAATCGACGATCTGAACAGAAAAATTGCTAACGGCTGGAAGTTGCATTTCGTCAACAAAGGACCGATCGGTCAAACCGCCAATATACAATTCATTGAAGGATGAAGATAATGAAAAATAAGAAATATAATCTAAATACCGTTAAAACTTTGCATCGGAGATTAGATTTACATTTGGAACGTATTCGTTCCATAAAAGAAGCAATTAAGTTGTATGAAATAAGAAATGGACTTAACAATCTTAAGCTGTACTAGAATTAATGATTTTAATACAGTATAATTAATCACTTACTGTGTGGTTTATTTCACCATCCTCGTACAAAATATTATTTTATGGTGAATCGTCATGAATAAAAGACGTGTGTACTTCGATAATATACCTGTTATTTTCTTAATAAATGATAAAGAAAACCGAATTAATACTTGGTTATATGATGTTAGAAGATTTCAAATGAATGTGGAACGTTTCGAAATACAAATAAAACCGTTAATCGAAAAAATGATGGAGAAGAAGCGAAAATTTAGACAAACAATCGAAAAGTTAGATTCACAATTGAAAATTATTCAACAAAGAAAATCAGTTAAATAACTTCTTCGAAAATTGGAATAACTCAAATTATATTATTATATTGTAATAAATATTGTTTATTTAATGAGTGTGGTAAGAAAATGTATTCTGTAGTGAAAGTTGAGGAAAACAGCAAGAGTGGGGATTGATAATGTGTATAAATTGAAGATCACCCGCAAGAGTTATAACAGTCCTCAACAAATTGAAGATCACACGCAGTCCTCAACACTTAAGAAAAATATATATATAAACAACAAAATGGGTAAGCTTGTCTTTATTACTATTAAATAAAAATCCTAATTGTTTTTTCTATATAAATATCAATGTCCGTATATGAAGACGTTCGGTTCAATAGAAATGCGGCACATCCACCAGCCATGAATTTTCTGCACGATGGAAATTTTTGTCGTAACAAACTTTCGATTGCTTGAATGATACAACGTTTCTCTTCATTCAATGAAACTATATCAAGATCGCGCGAAACCAAAATACTCTCTCTCAGTGGAAAGATATCTTATGTGTGAACTGAACTGATAAATTTATAGAACACCAATACGTCTTATATACATGTGCTTCACAGTGAGGCTTGGATTGCTGAATTGCATTTCTCACGGAAATAGTTTTTTCATGACCTTGAACTCTTAATTTCCGAGAAGAGCACGTCTTCAAAAATTGCTGAATTGCATTTCTCACGGAAATTGTTGTTTTCATGACCTTGAACCCCTAAATTCTGAGGAAAGCACGTGTTATTGAAATTGCTGATTTGTATGTCTCATGAGAACTGCTGAATCGCATTTCTCACGGGAAGAGTTTTTCATGACCTTGAAGTCTAGCAGTCTTTTAGATGTCCATATATGGACATAATAAATTGTTGATTTGGCATTTCACCCCTCTTTCTAAAATTATTTTTTCATTACTCTGCATTATTTTTCCTAGATATTTTGTATGGAGACACATAATTGTCATTATTAGTTCTTCAGTGTATGTGGAGAAGTGATCGTGAAAGTGAAGAAGATGAAGCATTCACTAAAGCCGAAAAAAATCAATATCATTCAAGATGTTGTAATTCAGGTACGTTTTTTTTTATTATTTATTTGTTTAATATTTTTTACAATATTAGAAGACAACACAATTCAGACAGGTACTTTTGTTTTTTTGCTAAATGTTTTTTTATATTTTATCATATACATTTTTTTTAATTTTTGTATATTCATAAATGTTGAGATGTTTATAAGTCTTTATTTTGTTTGACAGCCCGCCATGCCGAAAATGAGAAACTGGCCGATTTAACGGCCGAGGAATTGGACGAAATAAAATCCATTCGGCAAGAAGCGTCCACTTCTAAGGCCATAGAAGTAAGGGAAGAGCCTTCAGAGACGCCCTCCCAGCTGTCCATTGCACTAGACGAGCCATGCGTTCCTTTAACGCTCTCATTATTTGAGGGTTTGGAAACGCGTGGCAAAAACATGGGTTTACTTTATCACGTCTGTGGCGTGACGAAGGAACAAGAAGAAGGGCAGGAGGAGGAGGAGGAGGAGGAGGAGGAGGAGGAGGAGAAGCAAGCGGAGCAGCAACAACAACACCGAGATAAAGAAGAGTAGGAGGAGCAAAGGGAACTTCAACACCAGCACGAAGAGGAGGAACAGGCTTGCCGAACACCGGCATTGACACTTCGAACGGAGGACAGCGAGGAAGAGTTCCAGGCACCATCCACGGCGTCGGAGCTGCTGTCGTCCTTCCGTTGGAAGTGTCGGGCGGCGGAACAAATTCAAAAGGTGCCCCGAAGTGACCTGTTACGAAAAAAAGCCAAGTATGAAAAAGACGTGAAAAGATACTTCAACAAAGTTTGCGAATTTCAGAGACTATTGGCAGAACGAAAAACGCAACTCGCGGAAGTGAACAAAAAACTTATCCACTGTGAAAGTAGTGCGAAAGGGGTGAAAGAATTAATGAACAAAATAAATTTAGTGTAATAATAGCAGGTAGTAGTAGTAGTAGTTGTTACTATTTACTTTGCTACATAATAGACAAACAAATGCCTGTGGTACCGCAAGAGCGAATCGAAAATATTTACCTAAAATAAAAGAAAAACTTGAACTGGGTCAAGTTGTTTTTTATACCATTTCAAATTTATTAGCTTTGAAATGGAGAGATAGATAAGCGTGATGTGATGATGATTTCGTCGTGCTATGGGCCCGAATTGCTACCATCTGGAAAAATTAACCACAAGACAAAAGAAAAAAAGCTCAAACCAGAATGTATTTTACAATACAATTTAAATATGGGAGCAGTTGATAAGACTGACATGCTGCAAAGTTCGATAGAATCTGTAAGGAAGAATGTCAAGTGGTATAAAAAAGTTTTTTTTTCCATTTGATAGATCTGTGCCTATTGAATGCACATGTAATTTATAAACTGGCCAGAACATCCCTATTGCGGATTTCCAAGTAACGCTGGTAAAACAGCTACTTGAAAAATATCACAAGACACAAGTGAGATTAGCACCAGGGCGTAAAACTGCAGAAGGTGATTCGCCACTTAGACTGACAGGAAGACATTTTCCCTCTTTTTTTCCAAACAACACACAAGGAAAGCCGGTTTCGAAAAGATGTGTAGTGTGTTCTAAACATAAAAAAAAGAGAGAAGTACGATTTCAGTGTGACACCTGTAATGTTGCACTATGTGTTACGTCATGTTTTCAGCTATACCATACGCTAAAAAATTATTGAAACATTTATATAATTATGTATTTTCTTTTTTTTTTGGTACATAAAATTGTACATTTTGCAAGTTTTGTCATTTTTTGTCACAGAAAATTTTGTGACGAGACGGGAAACATATAGATCCGCTGCACCCAACACTTTAATTTACGTGCCGGGACGGGAGACGTACGGATCCGAAACTGCTAAAATATCCCCGTCTGTACGTTTGTGGCACTCGCTGCGCTCGTCGTGCCCCAAACCCATGCGTGCCACAATAAGACGTCTTATTAAACTAGTATAATAATATACTATTATGCACGTATTACAAAATGAGAGTTCACGTAAGATTTTACTGTAGTGCGCATGTTTAGAATCAAAATTATCTATTAAATTTTGAAGTAGTGTCAGACAGAATAACTAGATTTAGTTCTTAAATTTTCTGCGTATTTTTCTTTCCAAGTTTCGTGTGAAATTTGGTACTAAATTTAGTATCATGTCAGACGGCCTTTATATCCCGTTCTGGCCCGGTTTAATAATGTTGGAAAAAAAAAATAACAAGTTCAATAGACTTAGCAATGCAAATGTTGAAAACTGGAATAACGTTTTGAAACATGAACTGCTGAAAAGCAAAAGTAATGTAAAAGCTATAGGGTTGTTAGACTATCACGTCAACATGTGATTTTTGTTCATAAGGAACTGAAATTTAATTTAAAGAAATCTAAACTTACAAAAATACTTCCCACGATTTGGGCACCGAAGAAAAATGGAAAAGAAAAAGAAAAAATAAATTTAATTATTTTAACGCAAAATGTCTAATAAATTTTAAAACACAAACTGTTGAAAAAGATGACATAACTGAAGCTTACCAGCACAAAAATAAGAGCTATGAAATTATTAAAAAACCTAATAATTTTCCTACTATAATGAAAAATGGATTAGTTAATGACATAAACTACTACAAACCAATCATTACAGACAAAAAATTAAACTATAGGTACTGTAGCGAAATTCTCAAATTTGAGAGTAGTCGCTAATGAAATAACAATTAACGATTATATCAGGTTGAACGCGTCAGATAACACCAATTCTGTAGAAAAATAGCTCACAAATTGGGTAATTGATATTAGGATGGAATTATACTCCGAAATTCAGGTGTTGACAATATCACTCTTTTTACTTGCGTTGTGTTCAAAACTGAAAATATTTCTCAAAACCAAGCAATATTTCCACTTCGAATAAAACAGCTACCAGCTATAAAAGATGTAATTGTAATGCCGACGCGTGTGAATGGAAATCACTGGACATTGGCTATTGCAAATATTCCCAATAGAGAATTTTATTATTTTAATCCTGTTAGAACGACTGTTAGTGATATTAGTGAAATGTTAAAAAAATTTAAAACATTTTTGAAAGAATATAATTCTGTATCGAATAAAAAAATTCCCGTAACCAATTGGCATAGCTACAACTGTGGAATTATAATAATTCAATTATTCGAAAATTTTCTATTATAAAAATCTTTTGAAAACACATGTTGTCCAAATCTGTATAGAAATGAAATGAAACAACTAATCATTAAAAATTCCGACAATATGAGTGACTACTGTCTATATTGTGGGATTATAGAAAAAGAACAAACAATTAACAAGTTTGTTTTTTGTGACTGGTGTAATCGATTAGCACGCTATGAATGCACGTATCCCCTTGGAAACGAAATCCCATGTCATACATCTACGAATTGTGTAAAATATCAAATTACTATTGCTAGAGATAGTTTTCTTTTTCAGTTAAAAATATTTATAAATGTGCATTGTACCAAAGGTAATTTTGTATTCTCTCTATGAATATTCTTTTTATTAAAAATGTTATTTATTAAATTAGTTTGACATTGTTGGTCTACTAACTTGGATATAGATTTTATAGTTTTTGTTATAAAGAATATAGTCAGTCATATATTATGTAATTAAATTTTGCTGATTTGATTAATACGTAAATAATTGTTAATATCATTAAAATTAACAAACAAATGTAAGTGTTACTCAGCCTAATATAATATATATTTGCTTAAACTGTTATTAATTTTAACATTTTTGGTTTATTAACTGTGATATTATATTTTTATATTGTATATTTTCTAAATAAATATTTTGTGAATTTTTGTTGTAATTTTTGTTTTTAATTCATCATAAATTCTATAGATCTCTCGCTCTGAATTTCATCGTGGCACAAACACTGATAAGCGAATTACAGGCGTGAATTATGGTATGTCCGTGCACACCCTCATTCCCTAAAATTTGATTTTTTTTCAAACTATAATTCATCATAAATTCTAAACATCTCGCACACTGCATTTCATCGTGGCACAAACACTGATAAGCGAATTACAGGGGTGCCCCATATGTATTTCTATGTGTGTCGCCTGCATGAAATTACGGTTCGTACTAAAATCGTTGCTGTCTTCACACCGGTCTGTTTTAATTTAGCTAGACCAAATCTCTTTTATTAATTTGTTTAAAGAAACTTTTAACTATGCACTTTCAACTACAAAAAGCTTCGCAACAAATAGTTTTCCAGGTAAATTTCGTCGCAGCGAGAGCTTTAATTGATAACAAGTAATCGGATCCGCTAAATAGATCCATACCGAGGTTAGTACTTTAATTTTTTCATTAAGTCATGTGATTAAATCGTATACTTACTTAAAAACTTGTAAAATTTGTTATAAATCATAAAATAATATTGTATTTCTATGTCGTGGTCTAACTTCTTTACTTTCTGACACATTTAATTTCAGGCGTTTGTTTTTCTTTGCATGGTTTTAATCGAGAATTGACTTTAATTCGCCTTCTATAAACCGGGTCAAAATAATTAATTAAAAGAGATCTAATTTTATTAATTTAATTCCATCATGCCCATTGCGTAAAAATAGTATTTAATCAAATAAAATACAATTTTTTTAACTTTTTTGTGAATGTATAAATATCAGTTATTGTAAATAGTTGTCATCGAGGTATTTATTTCAGAGTTTAACTCGTGTCAATAATCAAATTCTTTATCGATAACGAATTTTGTTCCAAACATTTTTGCTCAACCTAGAAATTGTAAAGCTACAGTGACAACATCGTTTACCCCTCTCCATTTACGTCCTCCCATCTTCGTCACGCGAACGACCAATCAGAACAAGTCAAAATACCCTATAAATACCCACTTGCCTTAGAACCGCATTCACAGTCGTGAGTCGTCAGTTGGAGAGGAAGGTTGTCTGTTCCGGTGGTGAGTTTGCTTTTGCATATTTTTTGCTTTTGTGAATCTGCCGTCGTGCTGTGACCCAACGCTCCAGTGAAGTTCACCGAGTTCGCTGCGTTACTGTGCTTTTCAGCGCGCTATCGCTAGCATCCCTTGTGCAACGTTTCGCAACGTTTTCCATCGGCTACGCTGCTTTTTTCAAAGCGATTAGTGGTCGATGTGGCACAAATAATTTCGCAACCACAACACGTCCCAGGCTCTGTCAGTGCCACCATGGCGCAGGCAGGGGCCCCAGGAGATGCCATGCTGTCGAGGATCTTGGCCGTCGTGACCAGGATGGAGGCGGCGTTGAAGAAACACGCCAAGCGTATTGAGAGGATCAAGAGGGTCGTAGAGGAGTTCTACAGCCCCCCACCGACCTCCACAGAAGAAGAAGAAGAAGACTCCGATGTGGACATAGCCATGGAGGTCACGTCCGCAGAGGCCCCGTTCGAGGAAGTCCCCCCCGGCAGAGCTGGCGCAAAGAGGCCAGCCACCCCCACCCCCCAGCCAGTCTTCACGACTGGCAATATGTTCTCCGCCCTTAGCGGCGAGGAGCAAGCCCCCACGCCTTCCACTTCGGCCAAAAAGCCGAAGATTGCGTCTCCGCCCCCGACCGTGAAGCCCAAGCCACCAGCCAAGCCCGCGGCCACGGAGAAGCCAGCCCCACCTGCTGCTGGCAAGAAGCAGCAGGTCAACCCCAAGCCCCAGAAGGGCCCCCTTGCTGCCAAGCAGCAAAAGAAGTCCCAGCCCCAGCCCCCGGCAGGCCCAAGCCGGGACACCGCCAGGGCCAAGCCCGCCACCACCGCCGAGACCACCCCGGTCGTCGACGAGACCCCCGCCGAGCCCCGGCCCGAGCCCCAGGAGGAGACCATGGAGACGGAGGTCCCCGTGGTGACACCACGTCCCCCAACCACCCCGAAAAGCAGGATTCCGCCCATAATCCTGCGGGACGGCCAGAGATGGTCAGAAGTTTCGCGTCGGATGAC